CAAATTACCACACGCACTTTCTTTTCAGAAAAGCAAATCTGGAAAAAAGTTGTTTGTGCTTATTCAACCAAAAAAACTTCTCCTCAAACATTACCCTGATTTTCAAAGTCGATGTTGGTTCGCAGAGCTGAATCCAATCCTGGTCAACTACAACCGTATCCTTTAACTCCTGATTCAAATATTCCTTAAATTCCTGCTGTGTGGCAAATAACTCTAGCCTGAATGTACTTCTTAATTCTTGCAGTAGCGACTGTAACGGTAGCTTTCCCTAAATTTCGGAACTACACTGAGGTGCCCAGAGCAACCATTATACGTGCAGTCTCGTATTGGTAAAGCAGATCCAGAAAATAAAATAAGTTTTTACTCCCTTTCAAAGCTAACAACAAAGAATAATAGCTAAGATGAGCCAGGTACTAAAAAGACAAATTTTCTTAAAGTTCAGTCATATTAAAAAATTAAATGACAATTCTCCTGTCCAGATGTTAAGTGAACACCTAGCAGAGGAAACATTGAAATATTAGAAAAAAAAATAACTCTTATACTACAAGCAACAAAAGACTGATTTTCCAAAAGTGAGAAAGCCCATCTCCAACTAAAACAAAAGGAAACAAAAGCTGTTTTAAGACTCGAGAAGAAATCTCTATCAAAATCTGCAAATGCAGCAAGTCAGATAAAAACTGCACCACTTCTGCTACCAACTATCCAATGTCAGTAACAAAAAATGTTTTCGAAAACCACGTTTCCTCTTCAATAATTAGGTTTAATAAACCAAGGCTAAAGAAAAGAATGATTTTGACTACATACCTCATAACTTCGGCAAAACTCCAAAATTTTTTGTCTGACTTCCTCAAGTAATTTCCTCATTTCCATAACGGATAGTGGTCCCGTTCCAGTAAGATTAGTAGTACGGCTAACACTTTTTCCATTATACGTGTAGTTTCCCTCTGGCTTCATAAAGCTTCTGTGCTGCTTACTAAGCTGCATAAAAAACGGCGATGCTGAAAGAGGATGCCGCAAAGGAGGTGTCAGAAGCTGTGGGATATGAATCACAGGTGCCATATTATTAACTAACATCTAAAAAGTCGATATGGTGCAAGTAGAAAGAACGACTACTTACTCAGGCTTTGCTTTCATTCTACTAATCTGTTACAAATTAAAAAGCAAACTCCTAGCAAGAGCTTTAAACAACTCAGTTAGGCTTTAAACGCCCATTACTGGAAAGAACGATAAGTGTAAACAAAAGAAAAACTAATTCCAAGTGATACAACAGGCCACTCAGTGAGGAGAATCTGTTTAAAATAAGTGACCATAACAACGAACGAATAAAAAAGAAACAGATTTTTGAAACAGGTTACCGCTGTACTAGGCGGTGCAGGTAGAGCACATCTGTTATAACTGTTATAAAGTGGTACAAGCTGAGGAGGATTTGAACGAAAAATAAAATCTTCTGAGAAAAAATACTGCAATAGGGGTTCCAATGTTGCACCTACTAACGCACAATGATCCTACAATAACTTAAGAATAGCAAACACATAAAACCTAATTAAAACTAAAGTTAACCCTACAATGAAACTGACAAGAAAGCATACGTCTAAAGAAATCTGGAAAATATCTGCGTAGACTCTACGCAGATCTTCCAGTAATACAACAGTTCCCTGTAGTCGAGAGATCGCTAGAATACTATTCAATTTAAAAAAAATGTCCTGAAAATAAAAACCTTTAGTCTAATCAACGTTTTCAACAAATAAATAACTAAAGCTTTATGAATAAAGTAAAGAAAAAGCAACAAGACGCAGTAAGCTAACCTGGACAGAATCCATTGCCCACAAACCTAAAAGAACAAAAATCAAAAAGTGTATTTTCAAGCAAAAAAAAAAAGAAACTCATGACAACATTCAATGCAGTCAACAGGTTGATTGTATCTGTATAAATTCGCAACATCTCATGCAAGATGCTTAAAAGATAGTATAAAATACCAATCCCTTTCTCTCAGAATAAGCTCATATGCACGTTGCTTCTAGAATGATCGGAACACAGCACCCGACAAGCCTTCGCCGTCCCCCAGTTTAACGCGGCTGAAGCCAGCCCAAAAGCGACTTCATAGGCTCCTCAAAACGTAAAGCCCCTGAGTGCCAGAAATATGATGCAGTACGCCAAAAACCAGAAACATCTCACCACTACGTTTCCAACGCGAGGGATATTCCAACATTCAGAGGCTGGCGGTCTGTGGCACGGTGGTTAGCAATGCATTATGTTGTACAGTGCATTGTATCATACATATTTTTTTCTTTATTCGTTCATATATTCATTCCTCTTAAGTGCATTGGACTGTATTAAAGTATTTGAAATTTACTAATAATCGGGAGCTTATTTTACTGGTAACAGTTGCTGCTGCAAAGCTATCCATTTATACAAATATATATATATGTATAACTACGTAGACAAAAGCTGAACTTGCGAAGGAATTTAAGAAATTTTGCTTCTAGCGAATGCTCAATATTTCGGTGCCCCCAATACAGCAAAAATTCTTTGTTTTCATGGCGGTTATGGCTTATAAACCTTCAAACCTTTGAGGGCAGAGATGTTTTAGGTTTGATACAAACATTATTCGCTTAAAGCTTTTGAATTTATTGACCATTTTAGAGTATTTGAGAAATGGTCGCAAAAGTCTTTTTTAAAGAAGCTTTTAAATAACGTCTTGCTAAAAAAGCTTCAGTAGCTCTGCTGTGGAATTTGTATTTACTTTTTGGTTTAAAAAAAAACACTAGCGCCTAAGATGTTGTAATCGTTGGACTCGCTTAAATTTCAACTATCAGTGAAAAAAATGTAACATTAATTAATAAAAGAAACATACAGAAAAGGTAATTTTTTTTTGCTACAGAAGCAGTTTCCCATGTTAGAGCTTGTTTTCCACTCTGTTTTGAGAAATGTCTATTTTTCTTTTTTTTGCCACAGTTTGTTCTGTAAATTGAGCATTAAGGTTTTGTAAACCAATACCAACGGAACCGTACTTTGGTTTTTCACGACAATTCATGTCACTTTACCTCAGTTCCTTCTTCACATAAAAAATGTCTTTAAAAACCCCCTTGACAGTCCGTTATTCTCCAAAAATTCATGATTCAGATCTTCCAACGGTTTCTGTAATTCATGAAATAAAGTCTGAATTTTTGATATGGAGTCAGTTGTCAGTTTTATCCTGAATTTTTCAAATACTATGGCAGACGCCCAACAAACTTGGCAAATTTTGTGCAAAGCGGAAACTTAAATTTATGCTTCTGGACCTGAGACAAAGGAAGCTGAAATTTGAATTTGAAAAGCATATTGGGTTAGAGTTTTCCAGCGGGAACAAAACCAGCTGGCAATGATATTTGAAGCATTCATTGGAGAAGAATACCTGTCATGCTAAATAGCTTAGTGTGTGATAGTAGTGGGACCAAAGATGACGTATTTTTGCAGTTGTTCAAATAATCCAGAAATTTCAAGAATATTTTGTCGGATGGTACTCAAACAATTCCGTTCAGACTTTTTTACTTTCTTCAAAACAAGAAGCATCTGCTTAGAAGAACATTGGATATTGCGCTTTGAAATACAATATTAAATAAAATGGTTCTGCAGATGTCGTAAAAATGAATTTAATTCTTTTAAAGTGGTTATGAGAAAAGTTGGATTTAGATGTAGTTTGGTGCGGTACATGTAAAACAGTGAGTAAGTGTAGTCTTAGTAAGATTTTTTCAGCACACTTGGAAAATTAGAAAGAAGGGTTTTTTTCTTAACTTTGTTATATCTTCAGAATACTTGCGAGAAAAAAACTGTGCTGTTTAGAAGACAAGTAACCGACACTTGATTATTGGGAAAGTTTAACATTTTTTCCTCCCTATTAACTTCAAAATGATAGAAAACAATTTGAACTGCTTTATGTCGTGCAAACATCAAATTCTTTTAAGTAAGCTATACTATTCTCTTTCAAAGAAGAACAGTTCCGCATCCTCAATTTTGGCAGTCTGGAGTAAAGTACTGTTAAAGTTCTGATCCAGAAAAGATATTTGTATCACCGAAAACGTACGGTATAATTAAAGCTCGTAGTGGACTGAGAATTCCTGCAAGACTGCTGCTAATGAGTGGCAGAAAAATTGAAAGGTCACGAAACAACAACACTACCACCGTCACCTGAGAAAAACAAATAAGAAGGACTTTTATTGGGTTTTGGAAAAAAAAGATAGCTTAGAAGGGGTAACCATTGCTTAATGTTTTTCATCCGCTTCTGGGTTCTATTTAATAAGTCCTACAGAAAATTTTGCATCTTGTGTGACACTAGAAGTCCACTAAAGTTTCCATTCTAGCAAAATACCTCATAATAAAGTTCTCTTTTCTGAAACTCCAAGTACTACTTTCTATCCAAGATTAAACCTTTTTTTGAGGGCATGCGGATAATTGAAAGGTTGTAGCTTCTTTTCATACCTCCATTTACATTTGTCTGGGAGAGCAGTTTCTCGGCTTTTCAGCAAACTTCTGGCCTCTTTTCCAGCAGTGCGACTTTTACGTTTTTTACCAAAAACTGAGATTGAGAATAGAAAAAGAAAAAAGCTTTTTAGCAATTGAGAAAACCATTTAATTAGTGAGTATAGTAAAGGCTTTATCAACCCTTGGACGAAGGTCCTCCTTTATTCATTTTCATAAATCTGGCTTCTGTCGTACCACAACTGCTTAATCAATGATTTTTGAAACTTATGATACATAATCAGAGGCTGATTTACACTGTTCATTTTCGCTTTTTCATTTTTCTAGCTACTTACTTCTTCACAGCCTTCCACGACAAACTTTTTATGTAGTTAGTCTTGTAAAAAGTTGACGCATAATCTACTTTCTTCGTGTAGGTAACTCATGAAATTTCTGTCGTTAAGAGCTTATTACAAGCTGAATTAAAATGTTGATGAAGCTGTTTGCGATGTCGAATCAGTTCTACATCATGGTTCTAAGCAGAAATTATTTACCTGCACAATGAAAATAAGAAATCAGAAGATTTTTTTCGTATTCTTCTAATTTTTTAGAAAGGAACAATAACTTTAGCGACAGTCAGCTTTGCCGTACAACTGTTGCTGGATGATCTTCTTTTGTTCAAGACGAAATCAGTCGACAATTTTATTTTCATCCCTTCTGTCTCCTGCAGGCAATTGCAGCATTGAAGGATATGAATATTTTTTTTTCTATTTATTCGTAATTTGTTCTCATTGGTTAGGACAACTTACGTTTAGCTTCTTAAGGTTTTAAAATTCAGTTATTGTGCAACTTAACAAAAACTTTTCTTTTTTTTTTTATTTCAAGACATGGTATCATTGTTTTCTGAGCAGAGATGATAGTCTTCGATCACTTCTTTTAGTTTGCCTCGTTCGAGCAACAGCTGTCTCAGCTTTGGGAGTAAATATTGCACATCGGTTAGTATGTCAGCAACATACACTGACGTCTAAAAAAAGTACCATTTAAATTTTTAATTCAGATACGGTACTTTCGTTCTATTACACTGTTTTCCAACAATTTAAAAATTCTTCAAAATATACTTCTCCATGGCATCGCCACTTGGCACCTTCCAGTTGACCACTCGCAAACGAAGTCACACCGTACAATCGAGGTTCACCGTGAACGTCATTACAAATTGTAGGCCCACCGGAATCTCCCTTTAAAAAAGCCCAGATTCTCATACTGTTTTATAAACTGAATCATTCACATAATTGAAGAACCATTTATGGTTAGAAACTGTTTGGAAAGATTTCATTTGCTGTATTTTTCCACCTTATAAGCCGTCGCATATGAAGGGAAAAAAGTGACTGCTTACATAACAAGTTCGGCCTTGCCGTTCGGGAAACAGTAGCGGTACGATGAACCGATTATTTAGGTGCCATAAAGCAGTATTGCTTATTTTACGCAACTGATGAAGACCGGCTACAACGTCTTTTATTGTTACTATTTGATAAAAAAATGGATTTCAGTGGAAATAACCGAATGTTTTGGAAATTTACACTAAATTAGTTCCGCCGACCATGATGAAAAGAATTTGTAGATATAAACTTTTTTGCTCTACTTTAAAAAAATACACGTTAAAAAACTATAAATTTCCAACTGATGCAAAACCATACCAGAGTACGAGATAAATAGTTTTATACCTGGTGCTGTTTTGCCGTACCCAAGGGTGGTGCAGTTGCTGAACTTCTGTGGAACAGGTTTCCAAACGGCATTGTCGACTTGCGCAACAGGTAGTTTTATAATACGTGGCCCGTGTTGCTCTTTTAAGCTACATATTGGTATCGGAGTTTTTAATTCAACAAACGCAATATCAATTATTTTACCTTTTGTGAAGTCCTAAATGCGTACTAAACATGATTTTCAAGCATTTTTTGTTATGAAAGAATTTTTATGTAAAAGTTTTTAAAGTAGTAAATAACCGTGTATATTAGTCTAACATGAACAGACAAAACAGTAGTACCCTAGACTTTTCTCTAAAATTAACCAAGTATTTGTTAAAGGAATTTGTTAATCTACTCGCTGTTATACCTCAAGAGGTGGAAGCAATCGGTAAACTCCAAACACTTTTTTGACCTTTACCTTCCTCGGAGTGATACCAGGCGGAAATTCCACATCCAAAACCTTTCCATCAGAAATTTCAGTACTGTAATTATTTAAAAATTAGGTCTTCTAATATGTTTTGAAAATTGTTCCCGTTTTCTCTTATTAGAGTTTACATGCATATAATAGACT